CCTATGCTACGATTTTGTCTGACATTCGTCAAATAAAAAAAAGAAATACCTATAAATGTTAGTGTAGGGGAAAAGTTGACATAAGAACAAAATAAGTTATTCGTTGAAAAAAAATTCGACAGTATACATATAAATTACGGACAAAAGTAAATAAGGAACAAAAGAAAATATTGATTTTATATCTCTTAATGTTGCTCTCAAAGTGCACCAGATTGATGCTTTTAACTTCAACATTTAAAATAAAATCTTCCCGGGGGGAGCATGCCCCCCCGGACCTGAGGAGGTAGGTCCCCCCCCCACTTAAATCATGTTCACATTGTCATGTCTCGCAAATTATGTTAGTTAGTTTTTGTCTTTGTCTAGTGATTTTCCCCTTTATTTTTGAATAGTAACCTTCCCTCTCGTTTCAGATACTCTGACCTCCCTTCCTTGTGTGTCTCCCACTCCTGTGATTGTCGACCCCGCCCCTGATTGTTTCCACCTGTTCCCCATTACCTGGTGTATTTATTGTCCTCGTCTCCCTTTGTCCTGTGCCAGTTCGTTTCGTTCCTTGTGACTACCACCAGCATTAGCAATCCAGGATTAACCCCAAGCAGAGCTTTGAGCCACGTCTTGTTTAAGTATTTTTGTTGTTCATGCTCCTAGTGTTTTTCCTCTTTAAGAGTGATTTTGTTTTTGTACCACTATCGTTGAGCTTTGGTTTGAATAAAACCTTTTTTTTGTTAAATTCTGTGAGTTGTGCATTTGAGTTCATACCCGTTTAATCAGTCGTAACACACATGGATAGGATACTAAATACATTTGCACACATCTTGTGCCCATATCTTTCTGTTTTGGTGGTCATGCCACAACCGTGCACGTGCATGCATGCGCGAGTCATGGTAAGATATCTTGATTAAGAGGTTGCTTTTTCTTTGCACAGCATGAAAGAAAGGCCAAATGAATGGGCTTTGATTTTAGTTTTTTTAAGCAGAGGTTGAATTCAATCATTTGTACGGCCCACGGAGGATGTTGTAAAAAATGAAATGGCCCTTGAGAGGAAAAAGGTTCCCCACCCCTGCCCTACAGTATTAAATCTGTTTTCTGCTTATTTGTGCTGTTGTACATTGATTGGTACTTAAATGGGAGAGTAAGCTGATTGGACGTTGTTTTGAATACACTGGTGGTTGCTCGGGGGGAGGCCATGGTTATCCACCAGTCCATCTGTTCAACATTTTGGTACAGATTAATTCATGTGGAGAATTTTGGGACAGATTAATATTAAATTTGGCAGTGACATAAATGGCCCTTAGAGGCTAAATCTAATGACTTTGGGGATCATTTGCTATCTTGCACCATCAGCAGCAGGTAAAAACTAATCCAATTCTCATCAGCAAAGTTTTCCCTCCATTTTGTTTCCAATCTCACAGCGTTGTTTGAGTTTTGCCACAGGAAGAGGCGGCTAGGAATTGCTGTAGACCTTTAGTTTTGCTAAATATTGGATTTGAGCAGACATGATTTAATCATCAGGGATGATATTATCACTGTTCAATGGGAAACTTTCACTTCTCAGTGTACTGTCAAATCTAAAACAATTGCTGTATGCTATTTGTCAAAGCAAAGCATGAAAGAGGGCAGCATACCTATGGAACATTCAAAAAGTAAATAAAATTAATGGCAGTAGTCAAAAAGGAAAGAGAAGTAAAACAGATGGAAACATCATGACACATTATGGCAGTCATGAATATTGTTGATTTCATGAATAGATAATAAGCACAGATCTTCATGTTGGTTTTATTTTAAAAAGTAGTCAAGGCGGCTTTGTCTTTTTTGCTTAACTTTTTTGTTATTAACAGTATCTGGACAAATGAAGGGAAGTGATGCATCCCGCCACATTAGAGCAGTTTCAAAATTACTCTGAGTCGCTGTAGCCTGAGGCTTCCTGCTAACAGATGAAAATGTGGTGACATATTTGTGACACATTAGCGCAGACGGAAATTCCATCATTTGTGTTTACTGTTTACTGTCACCATGTCTCACTCTGAAAAAACTGAAGGAATTATCCCCACTAGTTTCTGGAATTCATATTTCATTATTTGTGACAGCATGCATGCACACACACACACACGCACGCACGCACGCACGCACGCACGCACGCACGCACACACACACACACACACACACACACACACACACAGTTCTAACCTGCTCCTTGACGGAGGCGAGGATGGCGGAGGTGGTTTCGGACTCGGATCCATCTCCGTTGGAGGCGTTGAGGACGGGGCTCAACATGGCGGCAGCACTGGCAATGTTAGACGCCACCTCAGGCACTGGCATACCTCCTGGAAAACAAGGGAACATGCAACTATTTTACTATAATTAAATACACTGTGACATTCCAGCATTTAGGCTGAAACACCTCAGCCTAAATGTTGACATTAGTGTGAAGTCAGAGATGCAGAGAAAAACAATTCCAAGCAAACATTCAATTGATTTTGGGTTGTAGCTAAAAATGTAAATGAACCACGAATGAACCAATCTATATGATCCAGTCAGTTGTCCATTTGCAAAGCATTTCAATGCATTTGGATTGCATGTTACCTTAACTACATTTGATTCCACTGTGTTTAGATGATCATTCAAACTTTATTTTTTTCATTTCTTATCTAAATTATTCATGTTTAGGGTCATGTGGAGCTGGTACTTATCCCAGCATGCATTTGGCAAGGGGCAGGGACATCACAGGTGCGCTAGTTTCTTTGAATTAGGGAAATATAGGTCAGTGAAAAGAAAGTGTCTAGACTGCACTGAGATCATGTGCACAAGTATTTTGGCAGACTGGCAAGGAAAGTAAATGCAGGGTAGAGCGAGTCAATATAATAGTAGTAGGTACAGTGTGTATGTTGGTTGGATGTGTGGGTAAATAGTACCATGACAAATACTTGGTTTGTGACAAGATGTGAATATTTATCAAAAAAGGCAATCCAGTTCACATGAAAATAGCGGTGTACGTGTTTATTTGCACTAGAAAAAAGGTACACATCTGGCACATATTTGTGGCAAATGGTTCTTCAGTACCTAGGGCATTGGAATGTTACATGTAAAGCCCACACAAAAAAAGCATTTTGCTTCATTTCAGTGTTAATGCTTTAAGTAGCAAAAACGTTCATCTTTCTTAATCCCGAAGAGAAATTCAGTTCTTGACTCTGGTGTTATTTTACAATTACACACATAGAATACACACATAGATACTAATGGAGAGGTGGCAGAGTGAAGGGGCCGCCAGTGTTCCAGGACCCGGAGGCTGCTTGCTCTGTGCCCTGAAAATAGCGGTGTACTTGAACCAACGACCCTTCAGTTCCCAAGCCACATCCCAACACACTGAGCTACTGCCACCAATAGTGGTTTTACCATTGTAGTAGTGCTACTATGACTTTTCTTGCTTGTATTGGCAACAACAAAAAAGTCAAATGATGACATGCTTTGGCAGAAAACCTATTCAAACACTGTTTGTTACCATCAAAATGTTCAATGCAGATGTTTGTAAGAAATGTATGTTTCTGGCTGAATACATAACTCATAAATATGTAATTTCATTTAAAAAAACAGAAGGTTTCCCTTAACAGATGGTTACCTTAGTGCTTGTCTTATCTTAAAAACAAAGAAAAAGTCTTTAACATGCACCTTTTTGGACAATCAGAAGAGCCTGAACAATGGTCTGCCTTATAAATAAATTGGCTGGTCAAAGGGGCTTCATTTACAGTAGAGAAGCAAAGGTCAAATACAAAAATAAAAACGTTTATACAAAATGGTTTGTAGTTTTATTAATTAGCTACATAAAGATTGTCAAACTACATCACTATGAACATTTGAATGTAATTGAACAACCAGCAAACTACGGCGAAATGCACTACTGTTTTTTGTACATGTTCCTCAATAGTAGCAACAGCATTAAAACTTAAATTAAATCCCAAAATAGCCAAAACCTAAAGTCAAACACTAAGTATCACAGTCCAACCTTCAGAGGGACTGGCATATACACACAACCGCACACACTCGCATGCTTGATGCCATGTGTCATCCTGTATTTGACCAGGCGTTGGAGGACACGGGCTTCACATGTGCCGTGTAATCCTGATGCAGCACAGAGCTGGTGTAACAGCTGCATCAGCCAGCTTTACACATTGATGAAAGGCTTGTCATGAGGAATACACACACACACACACACACACACACACACACACACACACACACAAACAGGCTGTCGGCATGAGGCAGCACCTGCCTGAAGAAATGAAAGTGGAGCCTGTGAGCAGAGTGGACGGATAGGTGTTAAAAAGGGAGAGTATAGATGTAAAAATGAAAGGAGGAGAGGAAACAGAGTGAAGAAAACAGAAGGGGGAGGAGGAGGCGAGGCTATGAGAAAAGACAAATACAAGAGGAGTAGGAGGGCTAGGAAAAGAGAAGAGAAAAAAACTATTCTTGCATGCTGCTAGGCAACAATCGCTGGTCACTGAAGGCTGCTAATATGGCTGACCTGGCTTCACATGTCTTCCATTTTGGAGAGTGTTCCTCTTCTCCTCCACCTATCCATCCCTTATCTCTGTTTCTGAACTTAAATGTTTTATAACCACCTACCTTTCTACTTACACCACATGTTTTTTCTTCTCCTTCCCTCCTCACTATCCTCCTCCTCTGAACTTTGTCTCCCCCTTTCCCTTTCTCCTGCCTACTTCACTTGACCTATTTCAGTGTCTCCTCGTCTTTTCAGCGCATATCTGCTGTATTAGGTAACATGCAGTGAAGGGTGACAGGAGGAGGAGGAAGACTGGAAAGGATGCTGTTTGGATTTGAAACTGCAACGCTGCACCTGAGCCCTCATGAACACTTGGTTGCTTATATGGCCTCGTGACACCGCTACATGCTTCACAGTTTTCACACTGTCTCTCTTTTCTCTCCTTCTCAAGATTTTCTTTTTTTGTTACTCTCTGGCTAACAGCATTATCATGTGATGGCACGTGCCTTTCATCCTGTCTCTCATATCTACTTCCCTGCCTACTTACCGCCCTTTGACTTCCCTCCCTTTCCGTCATTTCTCTTCTTCTAATCACATCACACACAATGTCATCACTCTCATCGTCACCTTTACTCATCCTAATCTGTCTCAATTCCTCCTATTCTCAACAGAATAATCCCCTAAATCCCTCTGTAACACTCTTTACTTTTTACTTGAAGAGATAAAGTAGTCAACCTGAGTTAACATGTTCCTTGCTAGCTGGAATATTGGCCATTAGCTTGTTTGGACAACAGCTTGTCTCGTTTAATAAAGCATTTTTAAAGATTGTTTTAGATTCCCGGGTGCATGATGAAGAGTACATTGGGCTGATCAATGAGCTGCATTGTTCCCCATATAATGTTTTCACCACACAACACTTTTTGTATAGCGTGTTACTGCTGCATATCGAATTGTTAACTGCTCAGTCAATTTAGAAATGTACCAACGTTATGTGCTGATTCTTGACTGCACAGTGTAACCTTTTTGTATATGTATCTATATCCCCGAGAATCTTTGAAATTCACCATTTTGGATTTTGGAGAGACTTTGACTCAATTGAAAGCCAAAAATAGCACATTTACAAGGGAAAGTACTGCAGTCTAATATTTTCTTTAGAATAACTACAAAATTAAAAGGATTATAGTACAGAAACTAAGATTAAAACATTTGTTAAACATTGCTAAATTAGCAATGTCATTGTGTGCATCTTAGCTTGTTAGCATTAGCATGTAGCCCCTCTAAAGCCTCACATAGCTGCTAGCATGGTGGTAGACTTTTGTTTATATATGTGATTTCAGTTTTTCCCCTCCTCCAGTATATTTCACCATTTTAGTAGTCAATGCATTAGTCCACAAATAAAACAAATTCCTCTACATAGACGATGAATTAAGTTCTTATCGTGAATGAATTCTCTCTTTGATTTGTGGGGAAATCCCTATGCATGAAACAGACACATACATTCAAGCTTGAAATTGATTACAGACCCAGATCAGATAGCGTAGCGGCCTGTGGCCCAATTTGCCAATAGAACAAAACAAGAGAATTTCTGGTTTTGACTGTGAATGCAGGGCAGGCAGCCAAATATAGGTCAGCACAACAGACCGTGTCCAAGCCCCCATCACACAACTGATCACCACAAAGCTGCTTTCCCCAATAACAGCCATCAGAACTAGGTTATAGAGGCCCACAGCCCAGCTAGAGACAAGACTTCGAAAATGGATTAGGCCTAAAGGCTTTATTTCACTGAAATATAATCTTGGATTTTTTTAGGTCTATATTTCAGCGCCGTAATGCAGGGGTATTTAGCCCTGCATTTCAAAGCAGTAATCTCAGATATTGCTGTTACATTGTAAATGCAGCTCACCATGCTATGATTGACAAGGCTGACATGGGGAATACTGAGCTTAATATTTTGACCCTTTAACCTCATCAGTCAGGTCTGAGACTGGTGGGTTTTGGTGAAGATGGAATTCAGATCAGCAACAAATCAGCCGCATTTCCATGTAGAAGTGTAATTTCTGTGGTACGGATCGTTGTGTGTGTTGTTTACTTACATGTACAACTGTGTTCTTGTTTATGTATACAAAGCACTGGAGCAAACCTGTGTGTATATTATTTCTGTGTGTAACCCTTCTGGGGTGTGAGTGTTTGTTATGGGTTTGACAGGCAGTCCCATGTCGCCTCATTAAAACTTGTTTTGTTTGGGCTTCACCAGTCAACTGTCCCTTTGTCTGGACCCTGTGCCCACGACTCAGATTTCCAATTAACAAGAGTTTAACAGTTACATTAACAATGCCATTAGCGCTGTCTGTGTCTCACTGTGTATTTATTGGGTGAAGGTATGTCTTTTTTTTTGTTTTACCCTTAGTACTGTGAGGCGGAATTTCCTTCAGACTTGTTTTCTCAAACAGCACTAAATTAAAAGCGTTGTGTCTGGGATTTGCTTTCCAAATGCATACTGAATTAAGATGCCTTGCATGTTTGTATCAATCCACTGTGAGATTGATACAAGCATTGGGCCTGCCTAAAGTCCTAGTAAATTGTGGTGGTGAATCACCAACCCAATGAGAATTACCAATGGACTCTTGGATCCATGAAACCTGTTTTGTATTCTCTAGTTTTGGTTCACTGTTACCCATCTCATTAGCCCTTTTCTTAGCAGGCTGCTGGTTTGAACTTTGCCCGGTACTAAATTGCAGAGAGACACAAGGCTATTGTAGCTGTTGAGATGGATGTGTTATTTGCTAACAACTTAGCCATATAGATATTACTGTATGTCATTGTTGCATTTT